GCCCCCCCACAAGTTTTCTGATGTCCTTGTAGCCATGTTGGCAAGCTGTCAAGGGCTTGGAAGTCCCTTCAGAAACCTCTCTTCTGCTCCAGCCTCCCCCACTCCACTGGATGGAAGACTAGTGATTTCTACAGCATGTATTTGCACAATTTTATTCATCATTTTTTAACTCTCTGCATCACTCATCCCACTGAAATTTTTATTCTTGTGATGTGCAGCATCTGCCTCAAATGTTAGGGAAGGTCTCTTACTCTTTGTCACTGCTGTGGCTGTAAGAAGCTAGTAAACCTGAGAGAATAATTTTCTTATGCTGTGAAGTTTGCCATGTATGTTTCAACCTAATGTTCCTGGAAATTACCTCATTTACTGCTCTCTGCACACAGTGAATCACTATTTGCTCTGCTTCACAGAGTAATATTTTCAATTCTGCACCAACTTCCAGACTCAGTTCACTGCAGCAGTGAGTTCCAAATACTGTGCTCAAACCCACTTCCTTCTGTCCATTTTGTTTATCACCTTTAATTGTTTGTTCCTTCCCTTCTTGTTTTATATGCCTGAGAAAGAGTTGTGTTTTCCCTATATAAACCATAATTTTAAATATTTATGTTGAATCTCTTATCAGTTATGCCACACTACAAAGCATTGTTTGTATTAAAATCTACCTTGCTAGAAGAGCTTTTTTTTCCCCTGCAATTCTTGATCATTCTTTTCACTCTCTGCTATTTAGTCTTACAGAATTCTTTCTATTGTTTGTTGGTGATGGTTATTTTACGTAATATTCCACACAAGACTACCATTGATTTAAACAAAAGCATTCTTAAACCCATTGTATTTATTGACCATTCTCTTCCTTATTTGTCTGAACATTTTGTTCTGTTTTTGACCACAGCTGAACATTAAGGAGAAGCTGCCTTTGAACTTGTTGTACACCTCCTCTTTTAAGTTTGTTTGCAGCAACAGAATTATTAAGTTAATCAGTTGAGTATTTTCTACTTCAAATTTTATTAATGGAAATTTAACAACAAAGGTACATATACTTATCTTTGTCTTACCATGTATCTTCAAATGATACATTGGAGAGAAGTCTTTACAGATATCACCTTAGCTATGGTTTGGAAAAATGGAAAATGACTCTGTTGGTCAGAGGAGGGGGGAAGAGAAAGCAACATAAAATAAGTTTATTAGTATATTCTGAATGATATACAAGTGCTTCCCATCAGTGATGCAAAGTAGCATATGCATGCAATACAAATACAAGTCACCGAAGTGTGATGCATTTACTTATGTAGTCAATAGCTAAAAACTAAATTAAAAAAAAAAAAAAAAAAAAGGGGGACCCCAAAAGGGAAATTTCCCCCCAGATTCATTTTTTTGACATTGCTCTTCATAAACTTGAGTCGTTTGTGGCTTTTTTTTTTTGAGAAAAAAAAAAAAAAAAAAAAAAAAAAAAAAAAAAAAAAAAAGTGTGCAGCCATAATGGAAACTTTCCTCAGATTCATCTGTTTGAGGGTGATCTCTGTCGTGGCTGGAAGCGGTTGAGGATGTGGCAGTTCTCCCCTGCCTATGGTGGCGCCAGCTCTCAGGTGGATGGACTATCGGTGCATTGTACTGGCACATCCCCCTCCCACAAAAGATTCATCTTCATAGCAAAATATCTTCTGGGTGCACTGAGGTACTTAAAACAATGTATGTTGCTCAGTGTGAACAAGGTTTTCAAGTTACTCCCCATAGACTGACATGAGTCATCCGTTTTCTGTGTTCTTATGCTTCTGCCAAGACTACTAGAAAGCCTTGTAATTATAAAAACTGGCATCAGCAGTTGGCAGTCATGGCATCAGCAAAGCCCAAATTAAATTTCTTCTGGGTGTCCTACAGGTGGCACTGTAATTTCAGTGTCATGAATAGTAAAGCACTCAGATCTCTGGATGTCTCCTTTACCTGCCTTTGGACCCTGCCTGGAATTTCCCTGCCACAGCAGAAAGAGATCTGAGGAAACACAGGAGAATCCCTAGACAGCAGCAAATCTCTGTCCTGCTTTGAAGAAACCGGCCTGTAATATTCCAGTGAGTCAAAAAGGAAAAATTCACTTCAAAGCATGCAATGATCTACCTTATTTTTAGCAATGCCTATCACTTTGAAGAAGGATGAGATTTAACAGAATGCGTGCCCTGTCTTTTCTAGACTAATGTGATATGTGAAATAAGTAGAGTTGTGTAGAGAGAGCAATAAAAATTATTTAGATATTTGTGCTATAATTAGATGTTTATTCATTCTTGAAGTTCATATACCTGTGGCTGAAACTGTCGAATACACAAGCCAGAAAAGTACCCAAAACTACAAGGCCCTGATTTTTATTTTGCTTTGTTCCCCAAGCCTAGTGAAAATGTAACTTACAGAAGCATCTGTCTCATATTTTGAATAAGGCTATTAATTTTGGTTTGCTGTTGCACCATGTAATAAAAAACAAAAAATGGGAAATAAAGATTGTTGATTTGAAACTATTAGACCTGTGTGCTCTTCTGCAGACCTTGCTGTCAGCCCCATCCCTGCCTGGATCGTATTTCCTGGGACACACCTTGCAGGTGACCCAGAAAAACCAAACTGGTAGCGCTTCATGCCCCATCCTCTCTTTTGTCCCAAGGGCTCCCCGGCCTCGGTGTGGCTGGGCTTGGGCTGTCCTGAGCTCTCCCGCACCTCGAGGTGCAGGGTTGGACCCTGGAGGGTCCCCGGGAGACCGAGACTGAAGGGGTGCTCCGGGGAATGGGTTAGAAACAGGGACTGCGCTGACGCTTGGATAGTGCGATTTGTTACAGGGCACCTATAATATGCTTTTTCCTGTCTTCCACAATGCACTCTGAGCCTCTTCTCAGAAGTATTTGACAACACAGTTTTAAAGCTAATTTCCATTTATGAAACAAAAAATTAAAAACCTAACCATCTAGGAATATTTCTAATTTTTTAGTCCCATCCCCTACCCCATTTCCATCTAGCTTAGTTCTACTATTAATAGTTCTGACAGGCATGGCTTTTAGCACTTGCCTTGATGCCTGGCTTGCGCTTTGCATAGTCATGACTTGTAAAAGAGACACCAGTTTCCTCTTGGGCAATTTCAGCATTGCAACCAATTTCTGTAAGAGTTTCCTCTCTGCTTTGCGAGGTGTGGGAGTTGACGGGACAAGTGTGGCTGTTTGTCAGAATTCCTTGCTGGTAAGGTTGTGGCTTATTTCTTTCCTCTTAAGTGGAAACATTAGTTGTTTCTGTCTAATGATATCTACTTTATCTCTTTTTTTTTTTTTTTTAAAATATGGTTTTAGCTGATTAGAAAAAATGCTTACTTGGTACAATAGAGGAAGTTCACACTGGCACATAATTGCCCTTTTTTTTAAGGGCTGTGTAAAAGACCTTATGGTTCCTTCCCCCCTCTTCTGTTAAAAAAATGCAAATGGATTACTGAAAAATAATGTAAACATTAGAAATAATGGGGTTTGTTTGTGGAGTGAGGACAAGTAGCAGCATGTATATGAATGATTCCTATTTTGGACAAGTTTCATTCAGTTATGTTTTAAGATGCATCAAAGGACAGGGTGACAGCCTAGTCATGACTGTTTCACATAAATCAGATATTTGTGAAAACAAGTGTTCAGTATGGAAATGGAAGCAATTCCTTTATTGATTTTTAGGTTCCTAGAGAAAAATGTGAAAATCTATTATCACGTAAAGAGTATTTAAGGTGCAATACGGGGGTAGAATATAATGTGCTGTGGTGACAGCACTGAGCAGATCAATTTCTGTTTTTAATGTGAAAATAATTTTCAAATGCATTACTTTCGATGTTTTTCTCATAGACGTGAAATTGTGTGAGTAAAGACAAAGCAAAAGTACTATGTGAATGAGCTTACCCATGCCATGAACAAAAGGACAGCTGGAATTAAAATCTCCTGTCCTTTGCACTGAAACAGAAAACCCAAAACACTGACTGCATCTTGGGACTTAAGTTTTTCTCAACAAAATGTGCCTCTGGTGCAAGCTGAGATTAACAGCTTGTTTAATCATTCACTTACCTACTTGCTTCCAAGAAGTAATTTTTGGGTTGTAGGGCAATATGTATCTTTACTGGAGTCAATTATATTAATTGGAGTTCTTGGAAGGTTTATTATCCCTGCTCAGGAACTGCAGTTCAGCTCAGTAGGGTTTTTCTGTCTGCCAGTTATGCCAATATTTAATGGTTTGTGACAATTCATAAAGGAGAGAGAAATTGCTTGGTAGCTTCTCGTGAAATGGCCTTTCTGTAGCTGCCCCCTGTACCTTCTCTGGGAAGGAGAGAGTCCTGCCATGCTGCTCCCTGTGCGTTGACTCTGGTGACACAGCTGCAAGCGATTTGATCAGGTGGAAGTCCTGCGGCATGGTGGAGATGGCGTGCCTCAGGTCAGGGATGCTGAAGCTCTCTGCT